CACCGACAACGATCATGATTGTAGGAACGATGCTGATCGTTATCAGGGTAAGTTTCCATTGGACGATGAAGGCGATGATGAATGCTGAGACGAAGGTCGATACACCTTGAACGGTCAACGTGAGCTTCTCCGATATACCGTTGTTGACATTGTTTCCGTTCGTCGTAGCCTGTGTCGTGACCGAAGCGGCTTCATCTGAGTCGAAGTATGCGATGTTCTGGCGGAGAATACTCTTGATGAAGTCCAATCGTAAGGCCTTGGTGGTGCGGATGGCTGCGATGGATACAAATGCCTGCGAACGTGAGCATGCTTTCACGGATGTAGCTTGTTAGTCACATACCGAGTGAATGTAGACGAGACCAAACTTCGCAACAAAGAGGTAGATGAAGTACAATGTGTATTTGTTCACTTCGGCACGATATTGCGCTGGCGTGATCGAGCCAGTCGCGAACCCAGTGAACGTCGAGATGAACTTGCCAAAGACCAGATCCCTGTGTGATGGAGGATTCCGTTAGTGTGTGATTATTGATTGATCGACGATAGGTCTTGCGAGAATCTTTGACCGTCCTTGACACGTAGTGTGAGGCCCGGACAACTTTCCATTGATGTTTATCATTTCACATGAACGAAACAATAGCAATGCGCAATCATCCAGGCCACCACGTTTCGAACATTGATGGAGGGGACAAAAGATCGTGATGTGTGCATGTCTCTTACATTAACGGAAGTAGTGTTCCAGCGGCGATGGCTGCAACGAATGCGATGGTGTTGAGGATCCAGCTTGTACGATCTGCATACTTGAAGATGCGCTGGTATGTCGTGAGCATCGTGTTCCTTCTAATTTGTTCAATACACTTACGACGTAGCCACCCATGCCACCCTTTGGCTCTTCAGACGTGACATCGCTTTTGACTGTCGGCGCCTTGCTTGTCTTGACGTCATCGCTGGCGCGCTGCTCGGGCGTGTCGACCATTTCTTTACTCGTCGACATGTTTGGGGTGAGTATTGCAGTCCTTGGACGATTGGACTGCAGTGCGCCACATTGATATCTGAAGCCATCTCGTCGAAGTTGCGCACATAGCTCATGTTTGCCGGACTTTGCAAAGTCCGGATCCGCGGTGAAAAGGGCGATCAGAGGGCGCGTCGCAAGCGGCTGAAGATTTCCCAAATGGCGCGGGATACGAGCAATGCGAGCCAATCGGCAAGTCCCGGGCCTTGGCACAGTCACGAGATCGCGCGTTCTTCGTAGTGATGCCTGGTGAGGCCGAATGCTGCATCTAGACTTCAAAACCCTGTATCTTCGACACTCTGGAAGGTTTAGTTGGTGAGATATTGGACTGCTGCCTGTCGGTGCGAGATTTCTGCTGTTAGTGATGACATCGTTGATAGTTCCCACAGCCCCGGGTTCCGAGAAGCCCGCGCTCCGATAAAGTCCACAATATCCGCCACTCTTGCACACCACGCGTAGAATACTGCGGCTCGGATTGCGTAGCCGACAATATGGAAGACGACGATATGGATGCGTCGCTTGATGGGCCCATGTCCAAGCGTGCGGTAAGTCGCATGAGCCAGCCACCCAGATCAGCGCCCAGATTGACGACCCACATCTAGTGCGATGCCTGCCGGACACGCAAGATACGTTGCGACAGAGGCGTGCCATGTTCCAACTGCAAAGCAAGCAAATTGAGTATGATTTGTTGGGCCTGAACTTGAAGTTGCCGCTGATTCGTGCAGCTTGCAAAACAGCTCCCCCTCAACAGAAAGCGCAGCGACAAAGGGTTCACATATCTGAAGAATAGTACGTCTGAACCGCTTCCAAAGTGGACCTCGCTGCTTGTGGCGTCAGCCTTACCCGTCGACCGTTCTTTGCCCCGCGGCCAAACAATCGAATCGTGCTGATCTGGCGTTGAGTAATCTTGTTCGAGCTGACTCGATTTAGCGAGAAGAAGATTGATAGAATTGAAGACCGCTTAGCTGGTATTGAGAATGTTCTTGCCAGTCTCGCAACGAAACTCGGCAGTCTGGACCTCCAGAAAGACTCGCATGAATCCAGCAGCCAATCGCGGTCGAGCCGAGTTGGCCCTTCAAGGAGTCCTGGAAGTGTCCTCGTCGAAGCCCCCACACCCGCGCCATTCGAGGGCGAGAGTTCTATCAATAGCCAGTCAGACTATGCTCGCGAGATGCTGGCACGAGCGATCGGGAGTACACCCTCTATTGGACAGAATGAAGAAGTCAAGTTGGCACTTACTGCTCTTTCGGAGATGGTCTCTCAGCACGGCCAAAACCCTGCAACTTCCAACCCCTTGATCAACCAGTCACTTGTCGACATTGACCCATCGAAGCTGGAACGACCGCCTTGGGAAATTGCGTGCTATGCTTTGGAGAAAGCTAGTGGTATGTCTACAGACTTTGTACCATTCAAGCCGATCTGACATGACCAGAATATCCAACTATGGCCTTCGCAGTGGTGTTTCCGTTCTTGAGAATGGCCAATCTCAAAGAGATCTTCTATGATGTGTATCATAACCCAGAAACTTGTAGCGCCGCTCGCCGTGTGCTCACGTTCGGCGTGTTGGAGAACGTGTTCAACGAATTCCGGACCTTGCCACTAGTCAATATGGACACCACCAACTATCAATCGTACGCCATCATAAGTCGCAGGCAAACAGAGGTAGCACTGTCGCAGCTAGCTATATTCTTACCGGCAAGCTACGAGAATATTATGGCTTTGGTCCTTGGCGCTGCGCAGGCGGTCGAGATGTGCAAGCCATCTCTTTGCTGGATTATGATATCCAGCGCTGCGGGCTTGTGTCAGAGCTTGGGCTATGTAAGCAATCATGTGCAAAATGCGTGTGAGACGACCGCTAACGTCCTGCATTTAGCATCGAATCAACACTATGATAGACGACAATCCCGAAGACAGACAGACGAAGATCCATATCTTCTGGATGATCTACATGCTTGACAAGACGCTTTCGCTACGTTTGGGTCGCTCAAGTATCCTCCAGGACTGGGACATATCGTTACCGTTTGTAGTATCCAGCGACCCTAACGACAAGCACGCCGAATCAAGCGCCTTCTTATCGTACTGGATTAAGGTTGCGCGAGTCCAGGGCCTGACATACGAGAAGCTATTTTGCCCTGCCGCCTTTACAAGATCTACGGAAGAGCGCACGCGAATCGCGATTGAACTTGTCAACAGTCTTAACCAAGCCTGGTACGAGCGTGGGGATGCGTCGATCGTCTACTTTTCGCAACAAGGCCAAACGTATCATCTCGGTACGCCGAGATCGAACAAAATAGGCAACAGTCCAAATGAGACACCACTCCCGTCTCAATACAAGCGCTATGTGCACAAATCTCAGGGTAAACAAGGATCAGAAGTCAACGAATACGTTCAGGGTAAGTTTCACCGTCGGCGAGATTTGAACTGCACTGACTTTCTTGGTTGAAGGCTCTTTCGAGAGAGTCCAAGACATCTTCTTTCACTCCGATGTCGTCATGCACTATTCTACCTGTGCACTCATACAGCGCGCGGTCAGTCCAGGAAATATGAGCTTTAATCAGGAGTGCCTCGAATCCTCGAGAGCGGCCCTTGTCGCCCATATGAGGGCTAGTGCACAGTTCAACAAAAAGGGTCAGGAGGACCTCTGGTCGGGATATGTACATTGGTCGGTTCTTCAGGCACCGTTCACACCGTAAGTCACTTGATGCTTTCCAGCGCACGGTCGCAGCTAACTCATACCTGCAGTTTCATTGTGATATTCTGCCACTCCATCCAAAAAGCCGATACGTCCGACGTTGAACCAGATCTAAACTCCCTTTCCGAATTTGTCGGCAGCCTGGAATCTTGCCGCACAATTTCCGAAGGTGCAGACAAGCTCTACAAGATGTGCCATCTTTTCCTACGAGTTGCCAGGCTCTACGTCACGGCTAAGAAACAGGATGCTGCGTCAAGATCCCGGGGAGTTATGCAAAATAACCAGTCAGGGTATTATACAACCGTTGATGGCACGCAGCTGGACCTCAACGCAATGTCCCAATTCGATCCGTACCTTAGTGCGCTTGGATTGATGCCTGATACCGCATGGCCCACGACATATCCCAACGCTTCCACTGCAGCCACGACGACCGCGTTTGAGAAAGGCGAGGCGATGAATAACATGGATGCCGTTGGTTCGTCCGGCTTCGGTTTTGGAGCGTCTCAGGGAAATTCCAATCCCATGCAGGACTGGTTCTCAGGCTCGCGCTATCTCATGAACCTTATGGAGCCAGGCGACGATCTACAAATGCCGGATCTAGACCTGTAACACACGTCATCAGGGAGGACGACATGGTTTCCGGCGTTTAGAAGACGGTGGACTGCTTCGGCGGCATTCTGGTTGTCACTGACATATACCCCACTCTTGACATTGCTAGATGTCCACTATTTGCATTTATGCCTGGGTTCTATGCTGAAGGCTCTCGCGAGAGAGCTTCCATTCTATTTTATTTGTTGGCGTCATTGAATACCAATCTAGATTCCAAAAGCTTGTGTTTCGTAATATGATGACGTTCAGCCAACTGGTTTTCCATGACATGAGTGCAGACGCGAGCCGACGTCGCAGATTCTCTTGCATCATATACTTGTTCGCTCTCATAACACTGCCCATCTATGGAAGGGCGTCATCGTTGCAGCCACCAATTAGAGCAATTCGACAGCGATGCATGTGCCCTCTGCCCAAGCAGTTGGAAGAACAAAGCATGATGCTGCATAACAAAGGTGCGTAAGCGGGGCGAAATGCTCGGACTGTGATGCGAAACTGAAACAGCCTGTTTCATATGGGGAAGAGAAGCTTGAGTGAGCAACATGCAGCATGCAACAATGGCAACAAGGGTGTTCGATCACTCATCATGAGCATTAGATTTGTTACGTGATAATGCTGCTCCACGCGCTGATATATTGTCGATGCTATTATGCTATTTACACGCGCCGTCTCCAACCGGCAAGAAAGCTAAGCCTACACATCAAGGTCCGGCATCGCATTGTCGTTAGCCCAATCCTTGATCTTGTCGAAGTTCCTGCAAACATGGTGACTCTCGTAGTCAGGCCAGTATCCCTCCTTACCCTCCTGCGGATGGAAAGTAAAGACGTTGACGTCAGAAAGACACATGAGGTTCATGCGGAGGATCTCAATGCAGTGATCTAGATGCGCCCTGACCTTTTCAGGCTTGTCGTTGGTGTCGCTCCACCAGAGCTTGGGGTAGTAGTCGGGGTAGGTTGACATGCGGAGGAGGTTGAGGCAGTGCAGTTGGTGGAAGACTTCAAGTCCGACTCGGTAGCCTGTTTCGCCTGTCTTGGGGTCGGTGACTTGTAGGGCGTCGGCGGGCTTTTGTAGCTTGGGGAAGTCTTCCATCGAGACCATTTGGTCGGGCACTGTGATGTGTTAGTGATGGGGTTTGGGTGGAGAGGGCGCGGGTATAGGGGCGTAGAGATGATGACTTACGATATGCAACGTCCATCCATGCGTTCTCTACATCATCCGTAATGCCGACATACTTCGAAGAGTTCAAAGGGTTGGGTAGTTCAAATTTTGTGTGACTGTACTCGACAACGTGCTTTGCAGGCGCTAGGTCATATCAGCCAGTATTCATTAGGGGTACGATTAGGATCTGAGTACCTACAGAAGATGTCGAACTGATCCATTAGCTTAGCCGCCGAGTGGCCCGAGTAGTCTTTTTGCGACATGACCGAGCATAACAACGACAGCATTGACACTGTGAAAAGGAACAAGTTGAATAGTGTGAGATAGATGTAGCTTCTCCGCCGTTGCCTGTCATCGCTTTGGTAGGGTGTTGTAATAAAAGCGGTATTCTCGGCGTCGCCTTGCGATGAGCTGGAATCTGTGTATTTTTCCATGATGTTTTTCGATTGCGCGAAGAATACAATGAATGAGATGAAAGCACAATAAAGTGATGTTGAAAGGAGAAATATTAGTCGACCTGCGATAGAGAAGAGAATGCTGCGCTCAACGCTTGAATAGGACGAAGATGAATAGAGATGGAAGACCAGCGAGCGAGTAAGTGGGAGACGTTGGCGCGAAGACTATGGTAGACCTGCCAACATCGACCCCCGATACGTTCTCGGTATCGCCATGGGTAGGTCACCGAAACACGGAACATCTCAAAGGGTGCCGCTATGCCGTGCAGGCCGCTTTCTCCAAGGCGTCTTGTTCCATCTGCCCAGGCAACAATAGCCTTGCTCCAAGGCATCAAGCTTTTACCAAGCCTTCTGAGACGCAGAAGGCGGGATCGTCGCCGCTTTTTCGTTGGTTCAACTGTTGCATGGGTTTCGAAGTGGACACTTAGCCAAGACTGGATGTTCATAATTCGGCACCATCGTTTCAGCTTGGCGCGCCAGCCAAAACGAGATTCTTACACTGACATGACACGCACATGGAACAAACGTCCCAACCGCATGATGACAGAACAACGGAAATAACGTCAAAAGTTGCCAGGGCTGGAACAACAGAACCGCGGCTGCGCGCCAATGGTTTCCGAGGCTAAACCCTTTCTGGACTAGTCTCGACCAAATGAGTGGTCAGTTCCCGAGGACCAACAGTCTCTATCAAAGCAAGCTCCAGATCGCATTGGCGATGCGCGAAAGGTACCCGGTGGATGTTGTCGCGGAGCCTGAGGCAGGACCTCGTAGCCTGGCGGCTGGGTTGGACATGACCGTGTTCTCGAGACACCGACAGGCCTTGTCGACGGCTGGCGGTGTCGTTGGTGGAGACGCCAGGCCGTCAAGACTTTCTGTGTTTGGCTTCCCATGCAAACGCCGTCCATCGCCATCGCATCGAAGCGAGCACAGTGGCTTCCTGCAGGCGGCAGGTGGGGTGCCACCTCCGCTTCTGTGCCGTAGGCAATGCAACATGTCTCAGGAGTTGAAGGCGAGAGCGAGCAAGCATGCAACCGCCATGCCTACCAGGAGTCGAGTTGACTTATAAAGCATCTCGAAGCTCCAGAAGTAAAAGGCATCAACGTTGAACGTGCTCATTCCTTCTCACATCCTGCTCAGTTCTGTTTCATCCATTCTTCTCTGCTGGCAGATCCATTCTTTCAACCGATTCCAGACTCAGTTAAACTTTATTCAATATGAGATTTACCGCACTTACTCTTTTGGCCCTGGGTGCCTCAACCTCTGCCTACGTTGTGCCGAACAACAAGCAAGCCGTTGACAACGCTGTCAAGGCACGCATGCCAGTAAGTTATGCGATTATCCTGGGCATGTCATAAACTTACAGTTCTCCAGGGAAGCGGACCAGTCCACACATCTAACCTCGTTGCTGCCCTTGCAGGCCGTGGAGTCGAAGCCCGTCACCACAAGGGCAAGGGTGGAAAGGCTGGCGGTGCTGGTGCTGGTGCCGGTGGCGCCGGCGCTGGTGGCTTGGCCAAGCTCTTCGGCCGTGATGCTGAAGAGTTGACCCAGGAAGAGGACGATGCTCATTGGGCCGACCTCCACACTCGCTCTCCCCATCACAAGGGCAAGGGTGGAAAGGCTGGTGGTGCTGGTGCCGGTGCCGGTGGCGCTGGCGGCTTGGCCAAGCTTTTCGGCCGTGACGCTGAAGAGTTGACCCAAGAAGAGGACGACGCTCACTGGGCCGACCTCCACACTCGCTCTCCTCACCACAAGGGCAAGGGCGGAAAAGCTGCTGGAGGTGCCGGTGGTGCTGGTGGCCGGGGCAAGCTCAACAACCGCGAGGCCGAAGAGCTGACCCAGGAGGAGGACGACGCTCACTGGGCCGACCTCCACACTCGCTCTCCCCACCACAAGGGCAAGGGCGGCAAGGCTGCTGGCGGAGCTGGTGGCCGAAAGGTCAACAACCGCGAAGCCGTGCCCGAGCCCCATCACAAGGGTAAGGGAGGCAAGGCTGGAGGTGCTGGCGGAGCCGGTGCTGGCGGTTTGGCCAAGCTGTTCGGACGCGAGCCTGAGCCACACCACAAGGGCAAAGGAGGCAAGGCCGCTGGTGGTGCTGGTGGAAAGGCCAAGCTCAACAACCGCGAGGCTGTCCCCGAACCCCATCACAAGGGCAAGGGAGGTAAGGCTGGTGGTGCCGCTGGTGGTGCTGGAGGTGCCGGTGCTGGCGGTTTGGCCAAGCTTTTCGGACGCGAGCCTGAGCCGCACCACAAGGGCAAGGGAGGCAAGGCAGGAGGTGCTGGCGGCGCTGGCGGCAAGGCCAAGCTCAACAACCGTGAGGCTATGCCTGAGCCTCACCACAAGGGCAAGGGTGGAAAGGCTGGAGGTGCCGGCGGCAAGAACAAGCAGAACAACTAGACGGACCTTGCACCCTTTGGACTTACCACGATAGATGTTGGGGGGTAGAAGAGTTGGTGGCGCGAGTAACCTGGATGATTCCTTTAGTATATCTTTTTCCTCATAATGTAGATACGGATGAAAACAATCTGATCAGTGATCAAAGAAAGCCCGGCGTCTGGACGTATACATTGGTCTCTGTGATATGAGTGTGATTGGTCATGAGCCATCCTGGAGGTATTCGAGCGACTTGAGAAAGTTGTGCGTCGTGTGATAGTTGCTTGAATATATCCCCGCTCTTTCTGATGTGGGGTGACCGACGATCCCCGTGCACGGATTCCCAGTGTCTGCTACTGTCGAGTGATAACAGTCTTGCTACACCGATATGACGTGGTAGAGTACGACGTTATAGTCGATTTGATCTTACCTAAACGGTACAACCATGAGGCGTGTTATCGGTGTCATGGTATAACACGCAGCCAATGACACGGAGGACACATACAGGCGATAGGCGCGCGAGGTCAGCAGTAGCGTCTCCAAGCGTGGAAAGCTAGACCTCGCCAATCACAGCTATCGCATCGGCAAGATGGGCAAATGCCTGTAAAGAAATATGTTAGTATGTGTTTCTCCGAACGAGGATGAAAATATCTACCACACATGTGTATGCTTCGGTGCCTGTGGGACTAGACTTGTTGACAAAGTATAGTCTCAACATGTCCGCAGCATCTCCATCGATTCCGACTGCCGTTTTGGTGAACATGATCAGACCCCGGTGGCCTACAGCTGTTGATGCGCGTTGTTCAGTTGTCGTATGCAACCTCAAGCCGGTGGGCGCCGTGTGGTGAACCGGGCGATGGTAGGACTCGAACTTGCTTGAAGGTCCACAAAGAGCGACCGTGATGGATCTCATGGCCTCCTACATAGTGGCTATTGAAGGTTGCGCCGTGTGTCCAAGTTTCCGGAGTCGTGGTTACACAGTGCTGCGCACTCACCGCTGTATGCCAGTGGGCAGAAATGATGGTAACGATAGTGAGCTGCACAGCCCATGGCGAAGAAGATGTCGTGGGTGGTGCGTTTGCGAGAAGCAGGTAGATGGAGCAACGCACACCACCCAGAGCTTGTACTGCAACGTGGTCGACCGATCCTGTGGGTGACTTGAAGCGCGTGTCACAGCTCGGACATCATTTCGTCTCGTCGGGGTGAGTTCCGGCTTACGACTCCCGCCGCGATATCGCCGTCGATGGTTGGTGGCTCGTCGCAAGCTGAACGGCCTCGTTTGCATTTAGGTTTCGCCGCCGCATATAATGTATTCGCTGAACGATAGCGCGATGTTGATATGTATCAAAGATTGGTCGAGGGTCATTCGATGCGAATTGATGGGGATTGATGGTTGTGCATGGGCGAAGACTCCGATGGCTCGGGAAGGATCGTCGCATCCAAAGTCAAATCACTCGCTGGTCTCATCGGGGCTAACTCCGTCGTAGTATTCGCGCACAATAAAGGAAAATACCGTGGCATTGGCCCGACGCAATGTCGTCGTCTCAGTCCATTCCCACTCCGTACATTAAACCATCACCTGTCAATTCAAACGGCGCTTTGCGACGTGCCTTTCACTCGTCGGTCCTCGCTCGCTTCCTGCCTCGATGACCCACGCTCAGAATCGGGATATCTTTCCATTCACCATAGCCGACATTGTACCCGAGGCGGTTGAAGAGTCGGCGGATGTGCTGGAAGCACTCAAGGCTTCGGTCTGACCAGTAGTGGTAGGCGGCCGCGCGGAGTGATGGATCTATCATCAACAATTCCCTACGAATGCCGAGCTGAGGGTCCGTTACGTGTCTGAGTACAAGATCGCAAGTGTGTGACCATTGATTGACGATCATCGACCAGAATTGGGGGACGCCGTCGATGTTGGCGTTCTCGGCAAGCCGGCTGAGAAATGTTAGTTAAACTGAGCAATGCCATATGCTGAACCGGAATCGAACACTTACCGAATGTCCACGATGTTCATGATAGTGCTGTAATGAGACGCAACCATGTCTTTTGTGAAGTACTCCTCGTACTTCCTCAGACGATCAGCCTTGGCCCGATTCATGAATGGGACCAGCTTCGCCTGTTCGCATTCGAGTGCTGACTCCCAGTACGGGCTACCATTGGGTGGGTCAATGTCAAAGACCGGGGGCGCGTCTTTCATCACCCGGTAGAGTTCGCGAGCGCGCTCCAGCCGCTTCTTGTTCAGACCGCGGGCACCAACAGCAGTCGAATCAGCAGACTTCCAAGCATGAGTGTATTCACGTTCCCATAACTGCTGAAGATCTGCGATGCCTTGTTCATATACCGCGCGGTTTGCGTCTCGATTAGCAATTCCTGCTTCACCTTCGCCTTCGACCTCAAACTGACAGATACATGCATCCAGCATCCAGTTGGTGATCAGTACTTTCACATTGAGAGTACTGAGCTTCCCGCGGATGAATCTCTGTATGAACGACTTGGGTCCGTAACGCTCAGTCTGCACGGTATCTCGGGCCCTGTTGAAGACGATCTTGGCGAGCGTTTGCCCCGCTTCGTCCTCAGGCGCACCAACGATAGCGTGAGACATGCCAGCAGGGACTGTGCCGTAGTATGCGCCCACAAGTCGTGCTCTCTCGGTTGCGATGTCTTGGGTGACAGGCCAGACTGGGTCATTCACGTCGAAGTCACTCTGCGGAGACCTTGCCGTTACTGCAGAAGATACATAGTTAGCATTGTACGATACACAGTGTTGCGGTCAACTTTACCGCGCTGCGGCTGCTCATTGAGCTCAGCCCATCGAGTATGTGCCGGAATCTCAACATGGATCGCCGGAGGTACGTCCAACGATACTGTCGCCATTGTGGCGAGGGAGGTTGTGATACGAAGTGTGTAAATATGAAGGAAGTATTGTGATAAGATGCTGTAAAGAAGAGACCTCGGGAGTGTAGAAGACTGGAAGTCAAGTCAGCAGCAGAACTGAAGTATATAATTCGCCCATCCAGCCCACTGCCTTACCTGACCACGGGAGGAAGCTGAGCCACGTGGTTCTCTCACTCCAACCTTTACTGTGAGCACAATGTCGGGATTTCCGGCTTGACCAACGGTTCTAGGCGGTCTGTTACTATGGAGCGGCAGGTCAACCTTGGCCCCGGGGAAGTCTGCTCGTAGGCGGTTGTGCAAAGCTGCTCTTCAGCTTGTACATGAGCTCGACCAATCTCATGATTAACATCGCGTACAATTGAGCCGGGGCGGCCTGATCTTCATCGGTAATTTGGGTACCGCCAATGTGGGCGTCTAGTGAGTGAGCTCACCCGCTTCTCCATGAAGCCGTGAGTGGTGTGAGCAAGCAGCAGCAGCAGTAGCAGCGACGACGGAGCTACACTGTGCGAGGAAGGAGCTACTTTCTTCCTAGCTAACTCTTCGTTTTGCCTACTACAGCACAGCTCATTAGAACATTACCAAAATGCATCTGTGACCTGGGCGGCTACAATGGTCTAGGGACGTGAAGCATTTGTGAGGATATATTGATGTAGACGCCAGAATAGCGTGTGGTTTCCTGATTTGTGAGGCGCGAGACGCGTTTCTATCCAGCACCGGCCATCCTTGGCACACATGTGACGTCATCCATCAGTCCAATCCACCGAACTCCTCACGACAAATGCCATGTTCATCCAGTTCGCAGCGTCTCCATCTTCCCGTCCGACAGTACAGGGGCCCCCCTACAGGTCTAGTTGGTGTTCCGTCCATCTTTCTCAGGCGCTGAGCGCTTCTTGCCTCGAGTATCTGGGACCAACACAGGGATATCCTTCCATGATCCGTTTCCTGCTGCCCCAAAGTCCAGAGAGTTGCGAAGGCCGCGGATGAGATCGAAGCATTCGGGGGACCGGTCAGCCGACATGTCGACGCTTGCCATTCGGAGCGAACGATCATTGAGCAGCAGCAGCCTACGCTTGCCGTCCTCCGGCGCGATGATAAGACGATGCAGAAGCTCGCAAGAGTACGCAAACACGTTCCCTACAATTGTGTGGAACGGAGAGATGACATCCGGAGGGTTCGCGACTTCATCGATGCATATGCGCCTGTGGGAGATTAGTAGTGTGCAAGAAGTCTTGATAATGTCCGTAAAGTAGGTACTCACCGAATGTCGACCACAGACATCGCTGCCTCAAGGTCAGACGCGATTGTGTCTTTGGTGACGTGATCGAACCAGAACCTGACGCGCTCGTCCATCGTACGGTCCAGCAACGGGATAAACTTTGCTTGTTCGCATGCGCGCCGATCGAGGAGCGTCGCAACGTCGACAGCGCAACGGGGCGGGTTTGCCATGAGCGTCTCGCAAAGGTCGCGGGTTCGTGCCAATCGGACTTTCCCAAGACCACGTGCTTTTTCGTGTGCTGCTTTAGCCTTGTTGAATGCGACAGTGTAGGTGTCGACCCAGACCTACTCACTCGATGCCATTGCATCGAGTAACGCCTGGCGTTTGGTGTTGCGACGAACAATGGCTCCCTCATCCTCGTTTGGAACCGGGAACTCGCAGATGCGCGCGTCGATGGCGAAGTTGTGTTGACTGGTCAAGAAGTTGATCGTGCTAACCTTGCCGCGAGCGAACTTGTAGATGAAGGAGCCTGTGCCGAACTTCTCGACAAAGAGGTCGCTCTTCATCCTGCGAAAGGTCTTTGCGGCGGTGGCTGTTTTGGCAGCGTCGACGTGCAATCCCACCACAGTGGCCAAGAAACCATTGGGAACAGTACCATAGTACGCTACAATGACTCTTCCGACCTTCTTGGCGTTGGCCATGCTGACTTCCACCTTTGGAATGCCAGTGCTGATGCCGCTGCCTGGAGTACCTGCAGTGACTGCGGGTATACAGTCAGTATTCGTAGATTGAACGGAGACGAAAGGAAGCTTACTGCGTTGTTCCTGTTCGTCCAGCTCTGCGTAGAGTGTCGACATGGGAGCTTCGCAGTTTATCTCCATGACAGGTATTACACCAAAGTCGGCCATGTCGAGGATTGTGTTTTATTCGATGTTGAGTTATGAAAGATGTCGAGTGTGGTGTAGGAGACTGGGAGATAGGTCAGTAACGAGGTTGAGTACATACCCGTCGATTAGGCCTGTTACCTTTACCTGAAGGTGAGAGAAGGCGGCGTAACAGTGGGCACATGGCCGCGTGTACGTATCTTACCTCGACACGGAAATCGGATCTACATCGGATCTACATCGTACTGTTCAAATTGTTGTACTTGTCTGCAGAGGGGTCAGTGGACAAGGAGACATGGTATGCGAACTACGGCCTACTCTACACTGCCTCACTGCACCATCCACGAATATGAAGAAGCGTCACGGAAGACGCTACCAACTGTCTGTATGCATTTGCTAAGGGCTGAGAACAACGAGTACGATGAATATCTCCAAAGTGTAACTTTACTAGTGAATTCGAAGCCATTCGAATTCCTGCGGGATGAGATTCTTGTTCTCTGCTAGCAACATTAAACAATTCTACTTCTGCATCCCCTTAGTTCCCATTTACCTCCTCTTCTTCCGTCTCAGTCTAATCCTGCTCGCCGAATGAAGATAGAGCCAGGGGGCGCGGTATAGGGATTACTTTCAAGCCACTCATCTTCTTCACTGTCTATAATCTCATCCTCATCGTCCTCATCGTCCTCATCGTCCTCTTCATCCTCTTCATCCTCTTCTTCCTCCAACTCAGAACTGTTTGTCTCACCATCTGCATGTTTCTGCCTCAGAGCCTCTCTTCGTTTTGCCATCTCCTTAAGTTTCTCCATCGATTTTCTATCTTCTTCCCGCTCCTTCTCTTTCTGCTCTTGTCGTTGCTTCGCTTCTATAGCTTTCGCCTCCTCTTCCTGCTTCGCCCATTTCACCTCCAATTCTTCGGCTTCGCGTTCTTGGCGTTCCTTAGTTTTCTGGATACAGCTCCACACCACAGTCGTCGTATACCCGTTTCTGAAGTGGTCTTTACTGCCCATTTCGCACTGCATCCTCATACACCCGTTGCCAGCAAACCACATCTTGATTTGTCGACATCGACTCGTTGTTTTCACGGTTATAGGCTCGAGTGACGCATGTTGTGGCATGTCGAACGCTTTTAGCTTCCCCTGTAGCCCTTTTACATCGTTGATTATGCCGCCGAATTTGCCGCATTTACCGCATTTGCCGCATTTGCCGTTGTGAAGCTTTGAGTGAGGATCATAGAACTCGAGTGCTCGATCCTGTTCCCATTATTTGAAGTCCACATTGTCAAGCTCATCAAATAAGTACTTTGTAAAGACTTCGCTTGAGAACATGTCCCAGTCCTCCTGGGGTAGAAATATATCTTTCTTAACGTAGGGGCTTTCGATGCGTGGGGCAGGTTTGCTTTCTTCTAAAGTTTGTCGAAGTGACGCAAATGCCGCGTTGACTTGGGCGTCGCGCTCCATTTGTTCGTGAATCCAAGAGACGTTTAGGCCACGGAGTACGCCTTCAGGGTCGCCTTTGGGGGCATTGAGTTTGTAAAGCACATCGGGTCGATGACGACATGGCTCTTTTCGTGTGCTTTCAACCCTTTTGGTGATTTCCGACTTTGCTGCTTCCAAGCCATTGGGAATGGGGTCTGGTGGTGGATCCGCAGGCTCAATCTTGGACTTCTTCGAGGTTGGTACGGCGGCCTGGGAGGTCTCGCTACGGACGGCTGCGGTGCGCTTTGGTGGCATGTTGGGAATGGAATGACAATAAAAAGGAATGCCTTGTTACTTATCGGAGAGTACACTGAAGATACGGCACCAGGATATATACGTGAGTCGCAAAGAGGAGGCGAGGAGCTACAAGGATGCGTGCCATCGACGTAATCAGCCCCAGTTGTTGCCAGACGCTGCTCCGTGCTCGCTCGTGTCCAGGTTTCCTTGGATAGGAGCATCTCGACGTAATGCGGCGTGGAATATGCCCATCCTGGGCCAAACCAACAGTTGTCACATTTCCTTGTGGATCACGGATCGAAGGCCAAGTAATGGGTATTGTGATGCAGCGTTTCGTTGATATTGTACACATTGCCGGATCATCATGGTATCCTCATGTCACATATGATACATGCGCAGTGCGCCCAGGGTGCGCAGACCTGGACCCTTGACGTAGCAAAACGTAGGGTAAAGCTTCCCTCTCCTCTCCGGCCCTCTTCCGGCACAGTTCTTTTTTCTGCCCCCCTGCGCTATCATGAATCTGTACAAGCCTGAAGCGAAGAATATGCCGTCCGTCGATCCATGCCATGCATGCCAAAAGTAGATCCCTACAACTCCAAAGTGTGGTTGGTGCCGCGTATCTTACACAATGACCTCTCCGTGGTCGACGTGGTTCGGCCGCCACTTGCTTGTATCCAACTCGCCTTCCATGCTGCTTGGGACGGTGACCTCGACCGGCTTGTAGAGGTACCACGCCTTCAATGCTGCTGCCGCTGCTCTTGTCTTGGCCTCGTCTAATGAGCTGCCTGATCCCTCTCCCAGCTTGTCCTTCCCGCTGTACACACCAACCACGAAGACAGGATGTCTGCTCAAGCGACCGGTTTCTGAGATCAATCGGGCGACCGGTGGCTCGAAGCCTTCTCGTGCGCATAACCGTGAGAGATCGCGTGTCGGCATTCGGAAATCGAAGATTGTGCTGATGTCGAGATGTCGGCTGAGGAAGTGGTCGCGGAAGAAGCGCTTGACAAGTGGGGAGCCAAGGTGTACGTGCAATGCGCCGATGAGGGCCCGGACGAAGGACTGAGCTGCCTCTTCCAGTGGTACCGGCGTGCTTTGTAGCGCGTGTGGACTGGGTGCGGCATTATCGGAGCCAAATTCGTCTGTCTTCATAATCTTGTGTGTGGTGGTGATATTCCACTTCCAGGGTGCTTGCCGCCTCAACTCTGCTGGGAGGGCATCGCCCGACTGTATCCTCTTGAATTGTAATAAGCCAGGGTCGACTTCACCACCCGGCTCAGCCGCCGCCTCAATACCCCATTCGCTTGCGATTGTGGTCAGCGCTCTCGGTCCGATGTATGCCTCTGTTGCGGCGAAGACGACGTCCATTGGCAGGCGTGGGTAGTTGCACAGAAGCCACTCGGAGGTGTAGTAGCCCAGCAGCTGGCGTCCGAGTATTGATAGCGAGGCATTATTGAAGGCGGGGTTTGGGTCGGCGGAGGGGTGGATGAGGGTTCGTGCGAGAACCGGGAGGGGGAAGCGAGGCGGGAGAGATAATCGACTCCGGAGGGCGTATAATTTTGTCGAACGTTCGGCGGCGCTGGGATGTGGAGATGGGAGGCTCTCGAGCGGGAGACGCCTTCTTGGTCTGGGTGTTGACGCTGACGGTGTGGCAGAGTTTGCGGCAATCTCGAGTTCCAATTCACCGTCGTCCGGAATTGCTACTGTGCTCTGGAACCGAGCCTGTGTCCGGTGGCTATGAGGTATAATGCTTCTCCGCACGTTCTTTGCCGCTGTGTATGGGCACGAGGGCCGGCGTGGCGAGGGTGCACCCAGCAATTGCGAGGCGCATCGTGATATGGGTATCCGCTTCATTAAGACAAAATGTAGGAGAAGACGGCAGCAGAATCAGGAGAGGCGGAGTCGGCAGCAGCAGCAATTGGCCGGTCGTGTGTTCACACAGGTCATGATCGCGACTGCCAAAGAATTTCCGCCAAGCTTCGGGGCCCGTGCTAGCCCTCCCATGCGACAGCGACCTCAGGGCAGCTCCGCAACAGCAACCCCACGAACCCGCACAACCACCTTTACAATGGGCGGAGGAGGAAAGATCCCGTATGAGCAGCCCGCCAATCGTTTGTCAGTGCAGAGTTGACGTCGACTAGATACCCCAAGCACGTCTGGTCGCCGGCCGGTGGTTGGTACGCCCAACCCGCCAACTGGAAAGCCAACACGGCCGTCGTAGGCCTCGCCCTCGGCAGCATCGTCGGCATGGCCTGGATGCTCAGCGCAAACCGCGAATACCGCGACAAGATGCCCGAGCGCCACCGATTCTTCCCCAGCCGATAGTACGACATACACGGATATCCTCAGATCAGACTTGGAAGCTAACAACAGACAGCTGGAGCAAACAGATTCGGGAACACGAGCGGAAACAAGACCAGAGCATCATCGAGAAGACTCTTGAGGGTTAGATTGGTTATGAGTGAGGAGGAGGAAACAGCGACCGCGACTATGGCTGTATATAACTAGCCAGGCGCTGCTTGAAATCTGAAAGCCTATCTTCGACACGAACCCCGTTCCACGTCTCCCCGTCTGCTGATTGTGAGAGAATGGGCATACCGACTTGCTCAATGGCGAAGCTCGCCGAAATGGACCCCCAAATCGCAGCCTCTTCGAGATACCCTGGTACCCGAACCAGGCCGACCGCCAGGCCGCCGAGAAAGCTGTTGCCTCCTCCTGTAGGATCTTCCACCTTCTCTGCTGACTGGTGGTACGCAGGCATCCATTTGCGCAACCCTTTGCGCATAACCAGGCAACCGTCTTTCCCACAACGCACGACGACCCCACCATTGCCATTACCCACACCACGGTCTAGCCACTGACCGCATAGCTCTTCGATTATTCGGAACTCCACATGATCCTTCCCGTCGGTGTTCTTGCCAAAGAAGCCGCCAAGTTCCCCGTGGTTTGGACTGACAATGTCGACGTGCTTTAGCGCCTTCAGGCAATTATCGTACTCTTCAGGCGTGCAAAGATCAGGAACAGGCTCCCAGATGAATACTGGCCGAGGAATGTGAGCCGAGTTAGGGTGTTGCTTGCGCAATGCAATGATGGTCTCAACCAGGTCGATACAACGTAACGGGGAACAGATCAGATGAAAGGACTTGGACCACAAGAGATCTGTATTCTTCAGATCCTCATGGTCAACGCGCAGCTTCGGCGTCAAGTATCGGAAAGCTTCACCAGAGTGATTAGACATGTGATCACTCACTGGTAACACAAATACTCACCTCGATGCTCGTTTTCACCAGTGTATCCATTCCAACCTCGTGTAGTGAGCCGATTGGGCGTCTCACGTATCAGTGCACCTGTCTTCCATTGTGCAATAAAGTCGCGCAGTTCAGGTGGGAAGTCAGACCCGCAGTCTACAATCCAGCCCACAGACTCTGATTGTGGCGGCGGGGAGAAGATGCGTGCGCCTAATGCGGAATATGATCCAGCTCCCCCAACGATGTCTTTGACTGGCGGCTTTGGTGGGGGAAACTCAATCTCATCTTGACAAGTTCAGTGGCTTGCATGTGTTGGAGAATATCTGACGCATACCGATGATGAACATTCCCAGCGTGCAGAAGTCGATCTTGCCATAACTGTCGTTCTCTGCGTCGGCCATGTTGGATGTTTCCATGTCGGCTTGTGTAGATCGCAAGGTTGATAGTCTGCCGCTGACGTGCATGTCTCGAACGGACCGGGCTTGGCTGCAGACGGCTAGCGCAACGTGGGCAGCCGTGGCCATGCGCCGGGGAGAGCTGACCCAGTGAGGTTCTGCCTGCAATTGTGCTTTTCCAATTAAATATCTCCGACAGTCCTCATATTCCTATCATCGAGAGTCTGGATTGCTGGATCACGACCTCTCTCTACTCCGAACCAGCCAAATCGCGTCGCACGAGCTGCAGCGTGCCGCGGCTGCCCCTTCCCCGAGCATTCAAGATACCTGTCCTACCTTGCAAACGCTGCGACGTGCCTTCTCCACATGGCGAACAACATGAATAACCTGACGACGCTGATCAAGCGGTAAGCACCTTCCGTCCGAGACTATCACCTACTAGCACCCGAACCTATCATCCTACCACACTCTGCGCATCCCGCATCCTCTATGAAACGACTCCACCATGGCTCCCAGGCCCGAACAAGCACACATCCTCGGTCGACAGGGGCAAATACAGCTCGCAGCAGACAATGTACTGACAAACATGGTCCGCAGGCTCGAAGCTGCCACCTCGCGTCTCGAAGACATCGCGAGCACCTCTCTACCCAGCAGCGGCGATGGAGCTGCCAGCCTCAATGGAGCGTCCACCGAGGCCACTCCAGGCGTGACTGCGGCCAATACAAGTGCCAGCACCCCCAAACTCGTCGCAGAAAGCGCACCACCGGCGATTGAGGCTTTCGATGAGCTGGTCAGCTCGGACCTGAAGAACTGGCTGGACCTGAGCAGCAAGCTGGGAAGCGTCATTGAGGGCCAGTCCAAAGCAGTCGAGGGCGCATTCGCCGCCCAGCGCCAGTTCCTCTTCATCGCGAACAAGGCCAAGAAACCCGACGACCGCACTCTCATGGAGCTGCTCAAGGACCTCCAGGCAAGCATGGAGAAGACGGACGAGTTCCGACAGAGCAACCGCGACCCTGCGCTCAAGGACTCCGTCTCCATGGTCGCCGATGGTGTCGGGTCGCTTGGTTGGGTCACAATTGGCCAGGGCGGAGGCATGAAGCCCCATGAGCACATCAACGAGCTGTTCGGCGGAGCTCAGATGTACGGCAACAAAGTGCTTAAGGAGTACCGGGACAAGTAAGACCTTCTGCTGTTCTACGTGAGCAAGTGCTAACAGATCCAGGCCCGACGGTGAAGCCCATGTCAAGTGGGTGCAGGCCTACTACAAGCTGTTCAAGGCTCTCGCCGAATATGCAAAGAAGCACCACGCTACAGGTGTGGCCTGGAACAGCAACGGCATCGACGCCAAAGATGCCGCAAAGGAAATCTCCTCGGCACCTCTCTCTGGCGCGTCCAACATTCCTCCACCACCACCCGCTCCTCCAGCAGGAGGCGTCCCAGCACCACCTGGTCCTCCACCACCACCAGGCCCACCGCCGCCACCAGGTGCCGCACCAGTGGCCAAGAAGGCCGCGCCCGACATGAACGCTGTCTTTGGCGATCTCAACAAGGGCTCAGATGTTACAAAGGGGCTTAAGAAGGTCGACCCAAGCCAGATGACGCATAAGAACCCATCATTGCGAGCTGGCGCATCGGTCCCTACACGAAGCGACAGCAACGACAGTCTCAGGAGTAAGAGTCCTGCGCCGCCCAAAGCTAAGAAGCCGGAAAGCATGCGCACGAAGAAGCCACCGAAGAAGGAGCTGGACGGAAACAAGTGGATAATAGTATGTATTCCTGTTGAAGAAGGAAGACTTGTTACTAACACCCGCAGGACAACTTCGACTCCCCAGGCGAGACGCTCGAAATCGACGCCGAAATCAACCACTCCATCCTCATCTCGCGCTGCAAAAACACCACCATCCGCATCAACGGCAAAGCCAACGCGCTCTCGCTCGACAACTCCTCCCGCACATCCCTCATCATCGACTCGCTAGTCAGCTCCGTAGACGTCATCAAGTGCCCCAACTTTGCGCTGCAGGTCCTCGGCACCCTCCCCACCATCCTCCTCGACCAGGTCGATGGCGCGACCGTATACCTATCCAAAGACTCGCTAGCAACCGAGGTCTTCACAAGCAAGTGCAGTAGTATCAACATCAACCTGCCGACCGAAGACGACTACGCTGAGAACCCGTTGCCGGAGCAGATCAGGAGCTATGTTAAGGATGGTAAGCTTGTTAGTGAGATTGTGGAACATGCTGGATAGACTGTGTCTTTCGGTGTGCTGCGTTTTCGCGAAGAGACATCTTGGATAGTTGCTGCGTTGAGTGAGGGTGACTGCTTCTTGATTTGCATAGCTAGCTTGGCTGGTGCGGACGAAGTGGGTAGCTTCGCGTCTGTAGGATAGATCTGTATAGACCGTTATTACTACACACGCAAGTGGAGTTCCTGATGATACGTGTAGTCCCAACCAAATATCTCCGCTGGCATCGTGTGATCAACATCTCAAATAACATTCTTGAATTTTGGCCGTAGTAACTGCTATCATGGCACTATGACCGGTGTTGGGTCCCAAACCGTTCAAAGGATGTCGGATATGATTATAGTACTTAAGGCTCTAGTCTAACTAATTATTATAGGCAGTTACGCGGAAGATAGATCTACTATGCACAATTCTCTACAAGAGCTAACCTAACTGTCTATAATGTGCCTAAGTATAAGATCGCAAGTGTTTGTCCACCGGTTGACGATCAAGGCCCGCTCAAGTACTGTTGAGACTGGCGCTGAAGGCGGGGCGGCCTCTTCGACGACTGGTGCTGGTGCGGACTCTGCAGCACGAATGTTGGCCGGCCATTTAGAGTAGTGTGTCCGGGTGTAACCTTCCACGGACAAGTCGTTCATGATCGCTTTCCCGAGGGCCTTTGCCTCCAGCTCAACGCGCACAGTCTGGTCCCGGCACCATAGATACATTGAATGCGGTCGAGGGCAGTACGGGTGGCTGGTGTGGATGTATCGCTGGTCGACGATCATGGAGCCTAGAGAGAAGTTAGTATTGTCTATTAAACTCACGGGAGGTTGAATTCTTGGGTGTCAGGCGAGGACTTACACCGGATCTGTTTGTGCCACTGATCATACGGCAAATTCTCGACGTCGACGTAGCGGAGGTGCACTGTGCCCCATTCTGAGAGAACGAGGTTTCCTGGTACTGCTGCGCCCTCGGCATCGACGGCGGCGATGTGCCAGGGGGAGGTTGACAATACGGGGGGTACCGATTTCCAGGACATAGGCTGCCCATTGGAACCGTCATAAGGCCACAACAAGAAAGGTCCATGGAAGGTGAATGCGGGTCGGTGCGCTCTTAAACACTGTTTGCTCCAGCGCAAAGAGCTGCAGCGGTCTCTGCCACCCGTTCATTCGCCGGCCAGAGATGAAAATGACGACGCGTGTAGCCCGTGGCAGAGAGATCGCCGAGAATTGCCCCGCCCATCTCCTTTGTGTCGAGCTTTTTGATGACAGTCTGCTTGTCGAACCACAAGAATCGGGCGCGGGGCCGAGGGCAGAAGCGGTTGTAGACGTTGGCCCATTTTGTGTCGATGATTCTTGTACCTAGAAAGAAGTTAGCATGGTTTCAAATCCTCTACGAATTGGAGTCTAGGATATTGAGAGAACGAACACCTGAATTTAGTATACCAAAGCTTATATGGGAGCCGTTCGACATCAACAGACCGCAGATGGACGGTACCCCATTCAGACAGGACGGTCTTGCGCAGAACGTTGGCGCCCTCCGCATCGACAGCGGCGATGTGCCATGGCGAGGTAGGCGTCACTGGTGGTGTCGAATCCCACGACATTGGCTTTCCGTCGCGGTCCACTATGCCCTCACATGCTGCATGTTCGATCGCGCACCCGATCGCGTTGAGGAGTGTCAATGCGGCGTCATTCACCGGGTCGTATGAACCGTCAAACACATCTTTGGGGTTGCGTCCAGAGTTGTCGACGTGGAAAGCGAGGTGTGGAAACCGTTGGTTCCCACACGGTTCTTAGCAATGGTGCTGAGCGACGCACCGTCAAGCTTGCGTTCCGCTTCAATGGTCCATTCATCATCCTCTTCGCGTTTGCGTGACAGCCAGTATAATGACTTTGCTGATATTACGCCGTTATAACCAAGTGCGTCGAACTCCTTGTCGCCGATGGCGGGAATGCCGTTCTCCGCTGGATAGGTCATCTCGGCGCTCCACGAGTCGGAGAGAAGGAAGTTCTGTACTGGCGGGGCCAGCACCAGATCTGGATAGCTTGAGATCGTGGATGGTCGGCATAGAATGGATGGGCAAAGCGAGACGAGACTGGAAGCAAATATGGGGTCGTGTTGGATGGTGGAAGCGGAGACGTCTTTTGGTTGCGATGGGAGTGGATGTGAAGATAAGAGGTATCGGAAGCTTCTGATGTACTTGAGTGCTTACTGCGGCCTTGGTGGGTGACCATTGTTTACCGACGCGTCGATGATGTCAGGTTCAATACGGATGTTGCGTCTGTGTCTTGGGAAGGAGCTACGGTCAGACCCCATCCTCAATCCCACTTTCCCAATGCGCAACCAGTTGACGACACTTCTACACACATCTATGATCAAAATCGAGGTCAAAGCTACCGCCTTATCGGAGCTGTCGTATGTCCTCATTCCTCCAAACGTCACGGCTCTTGTGCCCGCATACCTGCTCTTTCCTCCACAATTGGCGCCTGGTATTGGCTCGGGTTGGCCTTTCTTTCCTAGATCGTAGAAATCAGCACATCTGGAGGGGAGGGACTGACGACGATGATGACGACAAAAGTGGCAGTGAGCGCACTGTCATTGCTAGGGATTCGCTTCACTGATCACACCAAGCGCGCATCGCGCAGCTATTCGGTCTTCATACTGTACTTCATTGGTGTATTTTATGTCATTGACTACGCTCAGTTCCGTTCATTCTCGATCATCCTGCCAGTAATCTTCTCTTCTGATGCCCGTATTCAAGCCTCATCAGAGCGATATTACAGTCCATAGTCAAGCGCCGGAAGAGTCAGAGGCTCAGTCCCAGTGTATTCCTCAAACACTGCGGATTCGACACGGGTCTCCTCATCCACTAGGTCCTTCAACGGATCTGCGTAGCCAGCTTCGACCTTGTAGCTGTGGGTTTGTTAGCTGGGTAACTACACTGTTCCTGTGTGACTAGTACCTGAACATTCGGGACAACTCGTCGTTGTGATAGACTCTGGCGCCTTCGGCTTCGTTCACGGCGTTGACGAATTCGTTCTTCTTCGCAAGACCATCGACTTCGTGACGGAGAGTGATCTATCCGACTTAGTTACGTGTGGTTTGTGCTTCTGGAAGACTTACCCTGTAGGCCATGCAAAATATATTGCGACCTTGCGCGTCTACTGCGACGGTAGGAGCGGCGCGCTTTCGTGGTGCAGGCGTGCGGTCGGCCATTTCAGTCGTATCTGAATTAGGGAGTGTTAATTTCGGATATTGACGTGTTACTATGCTGCTATGAATTCGGTGTCCATGCGCTTGATGAAGTGAGAGAGAATGACTCTAGACTGCAACAGGTGTAGCGCCATGGTAGACTGGGACTAGGATGTGTCTGAGTTTCTAGTGAAAGCTACTAAGACCTATGTCATGAATGAAAAAGCGTGTATAAACTACGTGATCATCATGAGCAGGTCGCTTCCACTGGCCCTGTGAACCTCGTATCTCGGGCGATGGGCGCAGGCGCAGAGATGGTTGTCTGAACACCACGCTTGTCACGTTTACATCGGAATTTACGGAGTATCTTCAGGCCCTTAGTATTAACACTGTATGTGTTGCGATATATGCAAGCGTTCTCAACTTCAACTTAAATGACGCCGACGTAAAGACACTGTATCTCTAGGGGACCTCTCCATAAGTGAGAGCTCTTCTCTTGATCTGGCTCTTTCCTCTTGCGAGATGAACCATCATACTAGACCATCACCCCTGCCAACGATTGATCTCTCTTGCATCCAGATGAATAGCCAAGCTGGGGTTGAGGAAAGAGTGTTATTTAGGTTTCCGGGGATGTACAGTTGTGTGATGAAGTCAGAAACTGGCGAATTGCTGAGTCCCTAACCCATAGTCACGGGTATGTGAATGCCCTGCTCTTGTGAAGTTTGAATTGTGATCATTGCTCTAAATGCTCGCTGGATGCCGCGTCGCTAATAAAGATGCTAGGAAACGGGAAGCAAACGAAAAGAAAGAAAGAACCAAGATAATCATCCAAATAGGGTCGCAAGAAGGGGTATCAAAGGTCCGACCCAAATCCAGTACGGACAAGATGTGAAGAAAGTAAGAAAGGCCTCCCTGCCTGTGGCCACCATACACATATACTCGGCGTATTCTCGTAGATGTCGTGTCTGAGGCGTTGTAGGGCTCCGTCTCATCCCGAGCTGTCAAGTTTCACACTCAACATTGGCTTCGGCATGACAATTGCCCGACAACCATCAAAAGTCGATGTCTAACATGTTTCGCCAAGTATCACCTCAGCGTGAGCCCATGTTTGACACGCTGTCCGAAGTTTCCGATTACCAACCACCCGCTGGTTCTAACCTGCGGGTCTGCGTCTGGAAATAGCCATCGAAGACGCTTAGCTCCGGCTTGCGTGGCGCGTGGTGCTCCGAGATGTCGACCAGCGTTGCGGTTGTTGCACCGTTGACGCCGAGCGATGCTGCTGCCTGTCCACTGTAACCGCCGCCGTCTAAGCTACGTCGTCTTCCTCCCGTAGCTTTGCCGCTGTTTAGGCTGGCCAGCACAAAGCGCATCTTGATCCTCTCTTTCGGTCCCGGTAGGAGCATCTTCTCAATAATGGTTAACCAGTCGGCTTCCGCTTTTAGCTGCCTCAGCTTCCTTCCAGACCCGATGAGTCCATTTCGGAGGTTCGAGGTCGTGGCAGCGTGGAGGCGATTTCGCCAACTTGCCACCCGGTCCAGATGTGCATGGTATGAGGCGTCCTGGGTGTTCGCAGCCCGGTATTGTGCAAACACCGATAGCGACTGGCCTTGTGCGACTGTCATCATCGACAAGAACACACAACCCAGCGAGAAAACGTCTGCCATCCTCTTACCGCGTGATACAATAGCCTCAGGTGCAGCGTAGACGTAGGATTGATCTTGGAAGTATGTGTGTAGTTGGTCCAGGCGTTGGGAGTTCGCCATCGTCGGACTGAACGTGTCGATGCTCTGCCCGATGTCGAATGGAGCAAGTAAAATGCGAGCCCCATCAATCAAGATCTTGCGAGGTCGGATGCTTCGATGGCAGATAGACTGCGAATGGAGATACTCAAGAGCGGACGACAAGTCGCCCATCCAATCCACTAGCAACTTCGAGCGGTTTGGGTCGCTTCCAGGTAGCGCGAGAAAGTCGTCCAGAGTGTATTGTGCTTTCTCTGTAAGAATACCAACATGACTCGGCTGGGCATACGAGCAAAGTAACTTCGCAATGTTCTTGTGCTCATACTGCTTGAACTTGTTGATCTGGTCCAACAGCGCAGCTTTTTGAGCGGAGCGAGCAGTGACAAAGCGCTTTCGCACGAACACACGATCCTCGCTGCTACCTTGCATCTTAACCCAGTCGACACTCTTCTCGGAATTGCGCGACGATCGAATGAGACTGACGTGCTGTAGTGGCACGGTCTCACGTGCGGTGTAGTCGACATGTGCTCCCGTCAATGGTAGTTCCTTGGATGTGGCACGCCATTGTTCGTCGACAACCTTTCGCGCATTTCCCACGATGCCTTGAAGACGGTCCTCCGGGAATGGCAAGCTTTCGTCTCGAAGGTCGAAGAAAGATGCCTGACGCCACGAGGAAACATCGTCGCAGACGAACAAGAGGATTGCCAGCCTAGGGTTCGACAACGTCCACTGCCATATCTTCTTGACTAGACCAGCATCCCATCCCTGCTTTCGCACGAGCTCGTAGAACCACCCGGAAAGAGACTGGCCCTGTGAAGACAAGATTGATGTGTTGATGTATCCATTTACCAACGGAACAAGGGGAGCAGCAGGTTGTCGGTATGGGTTCATGGGTGAACCCGGGTAATCGCCATTTCTGAACGACTCACCGGATGCTGAAGGAGGCGGTGACATGGGCGCAAATCCTGCTACCGGATTAATGACCCTTATTGGCTGGGGGGCGATGGGCTGGGGCGTTGTCGATCGGCTGGTGTATTGCGGGGTATGTTTTGGGCTGCCTTTGGGCGACGATGAGTCGGACGACTTGTTGGAATATGTCGAAGCTGGGCTGACCATTACGTTCGACCACGGGTTGTTGTTCGTTGTTGTGGGCGTTGTACTTCGGCTGGTGGCGGACGAGGCGGACGAGACAGTTGGAGATGCGGTCTCGCGGTTGTTGTACCACGATTGATCATCGTCTCGGAGGTTGACCATGGATATGGTGTGCTGGAGACTGTATTGGGGTTTGGGATATTGCATCGCAGGCGTCCGCCACGGCGAGTTCGAGGCGTGCTGCATTGCGTACAGGTGGTCGGCGCGTGACCAACGAAGAGCGTCCTCGAGGAATGTTAGATGTTTGCAGCGACTGTGGACTCGCCTCGTGTGGACTTGTGACGATGTGCAAAAAACAAACAAAGAGAATGAGCGTAACAGAGCGAGAAACGTGAGAGCCTTGAAGGACGACTTGGGTCCAGGTGCCCTGGTCTGCAGATGAAGTACAGCGGGACCCTTCGGGCAGAGTCGACCGCTTACACTGTGACAAGCCCAAATAAGGCTGCCCCAAGTAGAGGTCTAGAGGCTTTTGATGTGCTGGCAGTTAGTGCCCGCATTTTGCAACACATTAGTGGAGGATGACAATATATGGGCATAGGCAGTGGGTGTATGTGTTGGGCGAATGCACGCTGGGCACAAGCGCACCCATGTGGATTAGTTGTATGCAGGCGAACGTGGCCACCTCAGAGTCGCCTTCATCGTCAAAGGCGTATCGTGTGCATATGTTCGCAGCCCATACTTTCCCGTATGGTGCCAGATCATCGAGCAGTCTGATATGGAGCGCGCGATCCGTCCCGTACCCAGTAAGTGTGGTCGGCAGTGTGCCTGACTATGCGTGCGTTGCGCGACAAGGCCGCTAAGTTGCTGCAGGACTAAGACCACACGACGAGCAACGGACGCAGGACGCAGGACCTCTGTGTTCTGGCACACAGTGAATAACTATTAGCATAAAGGGAGATACCGCGGATATGCGCGTTCGGGTATTGGCCGGGTGGAGGTTGGGACACGAGGTTTCACAGCTCACCGTCTCTTCTCGGCATACGCACCGGGAACAACTAATGTCCGTGTGGCTTCGGGAGTGACGTGCTTCGACAGCAGCGAGGCGGCTGGGTCCGTTGGGCGGTATTGAAGATGCGGTCGATGTTGTACAGTTGTCCAGGTGTTGCGCCCCGGCGACCCGCCTGTATCAGCGCGAGTGTCGCAGGTCCAAGATGACAGCGGCCGCTACCCGTGTCAACATCGCCCGTTTCTGAGGAAGCACGCGCCGGAAGCCACACCGCAGGAGATTTTGCGATGCACCGATGGCGCAGCGGAGGCTGGTGCGATGGGAAACTCAGGACATCGGCTTCTGCACGGCTGAAGGGTGAAACCGAGAAGCCGGGAGAGGCGGCACACGACGATGCTATTGGCTCGGAGGACGACGTCACGTGCTCGGCTAGCGCACACCTGAAGCGCCCCTAGTTTTAGCATCGTTCCTCGACTCCAGACCTCAACACCAATTGTCTCAAGGGGCCCAGCATCGTCATGCCCAGTGCGCCCCCACTCCCGAACGGTTCGATCTCCAGGCCACAGCTTGGTTGGCTCCCACCAAATGCGGCTCTACTATGCTAAATTAAGCTTCTTCTTAGTCGCCTCGGGATCAACGCATAGATATGTCTTGTGCCACCCGTCACAGCCTCAAGCAGACTCCGTCTCAACTCTGTTATGGAGCCTCAAGCCAGTCTTGGTGCTGCTTTTCGAGTCTGGTGCCCGACCTGAGTCACGCCATTTGCGAGCCGTTCTCGTCCGATCCACCCATTGCCGTGATTCGCACACCGCGTTTCTTCATGCTCGCGTGTTCGACTTTTCTAATTCGCTTTTGCTAATGACACTTCTAATGCCCGTTTCTTTTCAGCAGTGATTAGCTTTTGCTTCGTCGTTCTTTCTTCGCTCGCCACTTTCTTTCTCGTAAGCTGCTGGGCAGCCCGGCCACCTCCGCACTACCGACTTTAATTTTCCGGCGTCGACTAATACTACCTCGACCATGTTCTTCAAGAGCGCTTTTGTAGGCACTCTGCTTGCTGCTGGACACGCAACTGCCTTCAAAGGCCCCCAAGTGAACGCGCTTCTCGAACCGGGCCAGGACGTGGAGGAGGTACTACGGAGGGACGCAGAGTTCATGGCGACCCTTACTCAAAGACAAGATGCCAACTCTGCCGATTCAGCACCGCTAGCATCGCTAACACCCGCGACTGGTGATGCGTCGGGTGTCGATCAAGCAAAGTGGGAGCAACAGACAAAGGAAGCATGTATGAGCACGCTCAGCAACCTCAACGGCCAAGCGTCGAACCCGAGTGGGATCGCCGTGTGCTACAACCTACCTTTCCTTGACAACAAGACGGGTGTCTTCCAGGCGGAGCTCCGAATGTATAATGTGTCAGCTCCCATCAACCCATGGGTTGGCGTTACCGCGGCCGATGTCAGCATGACACTTTCGTACCTCGGTGCGACCGTGCAGAACATGCGAGGCAACTTCACCAAGCGGGATCTTAGCTGGCCAGTCAGTGAGGGTATGCTGGTTGAGAGGCAAGACATCAACACCATGACGGAACTCAAGGTCCTCATGTATGTCGGAAGGATCAATGAGAACCTGATGGGCTCAGCCATGACCCAGTACGTATCCCTCTTCGTCATTCATACTTCTGTCGCTAACACATTTGCAGAGAATCCCTCCAACCCCTTCTCATCCCGCAAATCGACCTCGCTGCGCGAAACCCTGCAACCGGCCAGGACGTCGAAACCACTCTCTCTTCCCAGGAGGCATCATTCGTCAACGGTATCTTCTCCAAGGCAGGCAACGCTCCCACCAACGCAGACCCCCAAGCCGCAGCATCCGCATCTGCAGCCGTCTCCTCTGCCGCACCGTTCATCATCCCCGGAACTGCCTTGGCTTTCTTCCCAATCGGTCTGGTCGTCACATCCGTATGGGCGCTCTTCTTCTTCCTTGCCGTTGGATTCGGAACATACGGTCGCATCCAATACCGTGACCAATACAGGAGGCGTGTACGCGCCGAGTTGGCACGTGGCGTCCGCACCATCTAATACCCGACTTGGTGTCTCTGTTCATTGCTTCGCTATTTCTAAGAGCTAGTATCGGAAGTTTAGGCTACTATGAAGATTACGTTCGCTGCTATACCCCTTCCCTTTTACACCTTGTACATAATTCTGGTGGCGATGGAGCTAGCTCCTCCCACCATCTTCCCAGCAGCATCCCGGCGATGAGTCCCTACATGTTCTCAGCAACGCGATAGAAAAGCACATCAAGCAAGTAAAACAATGGAAAATTCAGTATTGTCGAACATCTCTTGGCTTCCGCGTTACCCGTATCCTGTCATGTCTTTCACTCCAATTATCATCGAGTCCACGGTCGTAACCGTTAGTTAGGTCGTACACGGTACGCACGCGCTTCCGTCTAGATCATCAGAGACTGCCTCTAGTCGACGCTGGCTTGGTCGCCTCCTCCTTTTGTCTCGCGGCCTTGTAACCTAGCCTAGTCGAGGTGTATTCCGGTTTTGGTAGGTCCCAATCTGCTTTGAGAGGTAAGTGGCTCGGTTCAGCTATGGCTTTTGACGACACTGCAAGCGCCCTACGATACGAGACTCGGCGGAGGCGAGCATGCTCTCGCTGTAAGATTATGGTGAGACTAGATTCAAACTAATTCGCTGCAGTGATTTTGGCTGTATCTTAGCCTTGGCCAACACGCCGACATTCATTCACGAAATTTAATTTCAATTGCTACGCCACGTTGGCCTACATGCGCCTGACTATCGTATGCATCTCTGCCTCTCACTCAGACCTTAACTCCATCTTCAAGAAAGTCTAGGAGTTGAAGCGGAAGTCGTCAAGCTCGCAACACTACCGTTTGCATCGTTGCCGCGCGCCGCCACTCGGGCCCAGTGCAAAGCGCCTTCACCGGACCAACGAGTAACCACTCGCCTCTTCAATTGCTGACACCCACCGATCAAGTCGAACAGTCGCCATTGGCACATACTTTACACTCTTTAGCCCGTTGCGCGACAGTTTTCTTCTTCTCACGCCTCACGCTCATTCAACAACGTTGCTATCGCTTCCCCACTGTCAACATTAACAACCGAGCTCTCAACATCCGCTCATTTGGACCTCTCGGAAGCACTCTGTATACGACCAGATATCGGAGCAACATGAAGACCTTCGCCATCATCCTCGCGCTCGCCGCCACCATAGTCTCCACCGCGTCCACCGCAGATGACGGCACCACACTTGTCACACGCGACGCCAACTGCGACTTTTGCTTGGAGCGCTACGAATTCTGCGTCAAGGTAAGCGAGAGGTCAAGCAGGAACTATCCATGCGATCCACACTGACGAGGCTGCAGAACGGCCACACTGAGGGACAGACCGGTTGCAAACAGACCTGCGTTGAGCATGTGTGCCACGTGTACCGCTACCAGGGCCATGAGGTAAGTCTTCGTTTCTTGCCGTAGTTGAGGTGGAGTGAAAGATGCTGACTTGATGCGAATAGTGCAAGGACTGCGGTGGTGAATTCGACAAGTGCCGTGAGAAATCGCGATACGTCTAGGTGACGGACTGTTTTACGAGACCGCGGGATTTCCGATCTGTGCCAACATCATTTGCGATACGTAGAAGGAAGTGTAGTATACACAGGAAGAATCTTGGGAGTCGCCTCAGGGTTGTGCATGGCGGTCATGGCTATTGAGTGTACATTGGTTACGAATGAACCACTTTCACTGCTAATGCGACTTTTCTATATCAACTACGTGTCTTTCTAATCGCGAAGATTTAGATAACAACTCAAAGCTTACCCTTCGGCACAGCCCACTCTCCCTTCTCCACCCTCTCACATATTTCCTTGATGGTCTTGGCAGCCCACTCAAAGTCCGCCATTTCCAAGTATACCTGCCCACTCAACCTCGTCCACCAAACGCCCGCGTACCATTTCATCATGATGAAGGTGCCATACTCTTCACAGCTAAGCCTCTCCATGAAGTCCCTGATCATGTTGCCGACCTCTCCCTTATCGATGCCGCTCTTAGTCGCGATATCTTGGACCAGAGACGGCGATATCGGTAGGCGAACGTTAGACAAACAACACTGCCCCAGCGTACCAGTGCTGTTTTCCATGACTTCAGTGCCAAGAACACCGGCAACGTGTTTACCGGCTTCACGGGCGAGCGTTTGGCAATAGTCCATGATGACGGTCTCGCCTCCGAGAGATTCGCGCCACTTTAAGGCCGCGGGTACGCACAAGTAGGGGCTGTTGTCGATGGTACCCACAAACTCGAAGTTGCTAACGAATGGCGATTTATCCGGGCTGACGAACGCCGATTTTGGCATGGGTGAATCGACCTTTTCGCCCTTGGGTGTGAAGCCGTGGGATGTGGGAAGCGTACTGCGTATGATGTCTTGGTTTCGTTGGGCGACGTGGAAGATTGCGCAACCGCGGGGGACGTGAAGCCATCTGTGCTGGATTAGTATAACTTGGTGTAGAATTACAAGAAACAGGACTAACTTATGACAGTTGCTCACGAAGAAATCTGGGTCCAATGCATCCAGATCGATGTTCAAGTGGCCAACCCCATGGGCCCCATCGATGCAGCTCATGACGCCAAGCTCTTTGCACTTCTGTGTCAAGCGCTCAAATGGCATCCTGACACCGGGCGCACTGACTACAGTATCGAAGACTGCGATTCGCACTTTCCCACCTTTGCTCTCTACCTCTTTCACCTTCCTCTCAAACTCGGTTAGTAGCCAGTCGTCTTCTACGGGAAAGGTGTATGCGATCTTGACACTCTCCGCGGGTGTAGTCTCAGTGACGTATGATACTGTCTTCTCGCAAGCTCCATAGATGGTACTGAAGATGAGAATATGCTCGCCGGGTTGGAAGACAATGTTGCGAAGAACGGTGTTTACGCCGGTACTGGCGTTGGGTACGAATACCAGGGTTGATGAAGGTGTGTTGAGCAGCTATAGCATTATTAATGAGAGTAATTGGAGGCTTATTAGGTAGCTGTGTGTGTCACAGATCTCCTGTATTGGTATCAAGATGAGTAACGTACCTTTGCCATAGCTTCCCGAGCTTCATCGAGATGGACAGGGTATCTGTATCTGATGAAGGGGTCTGGACGACCTTCGCATTCATCCTGGAAATCACGCATAGTGTCGCGGACCGCGCGAGGGATGGTACCGAAAGAGCCTGATTACAATTAGCCTACGTATGGAGAGCATGTCTCGCCAAATATGTGTAAACAAATAAAGTCAATGGGATCATAGACCAATGCTGTTCACGGGTGGAAGGTAGAATGAGCGTATGGACATACCATGGTTCAAGTTCAAAAATCCTTTCTTGAAGCAAAACTCCTTCTCCCTCAGCTCTTTTCCGAACTTGACTCCATCCTTCGTCTTGACCTCCAGGGCGGCGTTGTTTGAGCTTGACGTCATAACTCAAATCGTTCGGACAATGTTGTTTGTATCATCGAAAGTCCAGCGAGACACGTCTAGTTATATAGACATACAAGATGTGACTCAATGTTGTTGTGACTGTTTCCCTGATATCGCTTGGCGAATGAATCTGGAACCGCAGGGCGTATGTAACAAAGCGTCAGCGCGGAGCCATTGACCAATCAGAGTCGCTAGCGGATAGAAGCGGCGGGGATGTGGGGTAGACACATACGAGGAAGAACATCATGACTGTTGAGTCCTGTGCAGTTCATGCCCGCTGCATAACTCTCGCCAACAGCGGCTGCAATGTTTTGTATTTCCATCCGCCGGGACTTGGGGAGGCATTGAATGGCTTGCCGCGAGTCATACTGCTAGGGCCAAGGGCGAACAGCTCCGTGCCACGACACCTGATGTTCGAAAGGCAGCATTAGCATGCTGCGTGATGTGCAGCCTACACTTCGAGGTACAATATACATGCGTGCAAGTAACCTCTTCGGAGAAAGAGCGCTGCAGTTCGGCCATATTTCCGTCCTATGACCGCTCGCGACGACTCAACACGCGGGCCGCGCTCGTTGGCTGCGTAGCCATTCCGCGCCACCTAGATATTCCGCGGCAACATTTATGGATTCCTCATGTCCCAAGTACCAGGCCCTGTTAAGGCGTTCACTGCTAGTCGAACGATCAATATTCTCCAAAGTCCGCGATAATGAGACAACTGACATCATTCCCAACCATCGACGTCCTAGTAATAGGCGGAGGAAATGCGGGCTTCTCCGCCGCAACAGCCGCCGCAGAAGCAGGAGCACGCCGCGTTGTCCTCATCGAAAAAGCACCAGAAGATTGGGCCGGAGGTAACAGCTACTTCACAGCAGGCGCCTTCCGCACCGTACACAACGGTACCAGCGACCTGTTACCCATCGTCAACAACGTCGATACCGAGACAGCAAAACTCATAGACATGGAACCATACACTGAAGACGATTTCCAGAAAGACATGGATCGAGTATGCCTAGGCCGTTCAGATCCAGCCCTAAGCAAAGCGCTCATCTCAGAATCCAACGAAGCCGTAAAATGGCTCGCAAACAACGGTATCCGATACCAACTCTCCTTCAACCGCCAAGCCTACAAAGTAAACGGCCGCTACAAGTTCTGGGGTGGCATGGCCCTCAAGACGCAAGACGGGGGGAAAGGTCTCATTCAAGACCACCAAGCCTGCGCCCGCAGACACGGAATCGAAGTATACTACTCCACACCTGCCAAACGCATCGTAACCTCTCCCTCCGGCACCGTCACAGGCGTTATTGTAGACCACAAAGGCATCTCCACGCACATACCCACCAAATCCGTCATCCTCGCTGCCGGAGGCTTCGAAGCAAACCCACGCATGCGCGCCCAATACCTGGGTCCAAACTGGGATCTCGCCCGCGTCCGCGGCACGCCCTTCAACACCGGCGAAGTCCTCGAGTACGCTATCCGCGACGTGGATGCGAAGCAAGCGGGGAACTGGTCTGGGTGTCATTCTACATGCTGGGATGCTAATGCGCCTGCTAACAGCGGCGACCGGCTTATCTCGAACGAATTCACCAAGTCGGGGTATCCACTCGGCTTGATGATTAACACGGAGGGAAAAAGGTTTGTAGACGAGGGCATCGATATGCGAAATTACACGTATGCGAAGTTTGGGCGGGCGATACATGGGCAGCCTGATGGGGTGGCGTGGCAGGTTTGGGATCAGAGAGTGTTGGGGTGGTTGAGGGACGAGGAGTACAGGGATGAGAGGGTGGAGAAGGTTTGGGGGAAGACGGTTGAGGAGTTGGCGGGGAAGTTGGCGGGGGAAAGTGGGTTGAATGCGCCGGAGAGGTTTGTGGAGACTGTCAAGGAGTATAATGAGGCGGTTTATGCGGCGATGGCTGAGAATCCGAAGAGGAAGTGGGACCCGGCGGTAAAGGATGGGCTTACTACGCAGTCACCCAAGAGAAAGCTGGAACTGGCGAAGTCGAATTGGGCGCTGCCGCTTGATAAGGGTCCGTTTATGGCTGTCAAGGTGTGCTGCGGCGTTACTTTCACATTCGGGGGTCTGGCTGTCAATCCGGAAACTACGGCTGTTATATCAAACTCCGGAAGAGAGGTTACGGGGCTGTTTTGTGTTGGCGAGATGCTGGGTGGTTTGTTCTATGGCAATTATCCTGGAGGTAGCGGCTTGACTTCTGGGGCGGTCTTTGGAAGGAGAGCAGGAACGGCAGCGGCGAGATTAGCTGCTATTGGGGATACTACGATGTCTTCAAAGCGGCCGGCGATTCTATCACTGTTATAACAGGCAATGAGAAGTATGATTGTAGTTGGTATGCTCGGATAATGAATGTCAATACAACATTTCCAATGGCTACATAGTTGTCGTACTGCTGGGCTACTCCGTGTAAGCAGCAAGTGCTAAAAGAAAAGCCCGTTGTCGCGATCTTGTAGCGTACGAACCCGTGAAAAACATGTCGAACCCCTTCAGGACATATCTCGATGTTTGGCGTAAGTCGGTAGAAGCCATCTTGTCGGTATTAGGGATCCGACGCCTCTTGCTCTTGTGTGAATGAGAGTTCTCCCGACGCCTCGATCACTATCTTCTTGGAACGTGCAGCATTCCACCACGATGGATACGCATCTCGAAGTTGTTCGAAGAAGATAAAACCGTAATACCGGAAATCTCTACTCAACCGGGGATATGCACAACCGTCAGCAGGCCACTCCGTTCCTATGTCGATCACGCACACATCCTGTGCTGCGTCCAACACGTGCTCGTCTGACACGTACTTGACCACGTGGTAGTCTGTATTGTGGGTTCCTTCGATCGCGAGATCAGGATCGTTGTCCACATGAGGCTGGTGGTGGTGTTGGGGACCGACATAGACGATGTGACAAGGATCTAGCAACCATAGCTCTTTCAGATTGAAGTCCGCTAGCATCTGTAGCAGATCACACCAGTTCCCATGACTGCTCGCGAGAAGAATATGTCCCAATGCAAGGCGCTCCAGGTTCGGAAAGAAGTTGAGGAGGTTTAGGATATCGAATTCACTGAACGAGTGCTGGTAGTCTGACATCAATCGAAACTCTTTCAGGTTTTCGAGTTCATACCATAGGTCTGAGGACCATGAGCTTAACTCAAAGGGTGCACCAAACGGTCCGCCGTCACCGATCGATGTCTCAGGAGTCTTCGAGAGTGTTATCTCCAAGTATTCTAGATTTACCAGCTCTTCAAGGCCACCTAAATTCAGCAATGGCGCAGCCATGGGACGGGTGATATCGATAGCGACGCGCGTCAGCGTTTTCGGGAACCACTGGAATGGATCGCTGTCCCGAAAAAAGTTGCTGTGAAGAGGATCACCCCTTCCTGAGATCGCGCAATACGATGCCTTGTTGCCGAATAATGGACTCTCGACACTTTTCAACCAGAGTTGGGACTCCTGAAAAGCCTCCATTATCTTGGGGAAGATCCATCCGCTCTCCAATTGAACGCCCCACCAAGAGTATTCGCCTTCTTTCAGTGCTGGATATCCGTACCTGGCGCGTTCTAGTCCTCCTTGGAAGCAAGTCTCAAATGAGACGCGGTCCTGTTCCGATACTTTCCACTTAGGCCAGGTTCCATCGAGGCAATTTGGGTGTATGGGGTAGTATCGAAAGTGCTCCATCGAACTAATCTTGCGCAACAGATGTACTAGGTACTGCGTCACTGGATTCTGCTTGTCGAGCTCGTCACGCCCAGGACCCGAGCGGTCGTACTCTCCGAGGGTAACGAGGCCCATGTCCATGCCACAGATTGTGATTGTCTGATTAAACCGACGAGTGTATTTTGGAATTTCAGTGATCTCCTCAAGTACTGGGAGTCGATGGCTGTACCACACGAGAGGTGTCCGGGAGACTATATCGACAAAATCGCGTATCAAAACATCCGACTCGAACCAGCGACGCGCGACGAGCCGACTATTGAGTACTGTGCGGACGGAGGGCTTGCAAAGTCCGTCAAATCGCTCGCTAATGGGCGCCGGTTCTGTATGGGTGATATGGACGAAAACATTGTCGAGTATTTCTTGTGGTAGTTTCTCCATGGTCGGCCGTAGTAGAAACCTGTTCTATGAATTGAGAGGACGGGGAGAGGAAGCGCGCATAGCTTTATAGCAAAGGCTTACGCGTTCGTCAACAGTTTCCCGTGACCATACAAACGGTGCATACATTACGGAGAGGTAACACGCCCTACCAATGTGAATCTGCAAACGCCCAATGCTGTGAGATCTGACCAAACGATCACCTGGGGCGATATGAATGACACATGCACGTCAACCTAGAGAAAAAGTGGACACCATAGGGTCTACATCGATGTTAACACACCCACTTTGCATGTACTCATCTTAATGTAGTCTGCAGACCCGTCCAGTTTTTCCCTTGTATGAGGTGCATGTATTCGAGAGCGATCAAACGCTTCTGCTCCACGTGCTCAGGTGTTGTTGCGACAGAACACGTGGAACCCGGGTATCGATAAAACCAAAACGCCTTGTCCAAGCCCAGATTTCAATTATCTACCTTTTCCTCGTTCTCTTCGGCGCTGGCTTCGGCTTCGCGCGATTTGTTCGGCGAGTAGTTGGCGCACTGTCTTCTTCAGACTCGGCACTAGATTCTTCATCGTCATCATCTTCGTCCTCTTCTTCTGCGGATTCAGATACGGTGCTCTGGGCCTTACTGTTCTTTGCAGCGTTGGCTCCAGCCTTGGTACCCTTGCCGCCCTTTGCAGCTTTGCCTGTTCTTGTGTTCTTTGCGTTCTTGGGTACGGGCGTGGCTTCGGTTACACTCTCAGCCTTTTGCGAGTGCACGCCATCGGGGAGGTCTTTCAGTAGGCCGATGCCTGGCGCATAGAGGTCTTTGTATTTTTGGATGGGCGTCATGGGTGGTGACGAGCCGGCCGCAGAAGATTCACGATGGAAGCGCTGGAGCCACATGAGCTTGCCATATTCGTCTTC